CTGCTCTGGGTGCAGCCCAGGATGTGGTTGGCAGGTCTGTGCAATCTCTGGGTGCTACAGGTCCATCGATCTTTGCATCTGTTCAGGTCTTGTTTCTCTTGCCTTGGGGTTATCACACTCTTATCGACTGTGTTTCCTCCTTTCAGAAACTGAAGGAAGTTGCCTTCCCCAGAGCTGAAGAGCTCAAGGAGGAGCTGTTAAAGAGGTACGCCAAGGACTATGCTAAGTACAAGGAGCAGAAGGTGAGTGAGAGGAGACTGGAGGCCTGTGCTCCCCAGAAGACCCTCAGCCACAAAGGGTTTGGAAGAGGGCAGGTCTCCAGGGCTCCCTGGGTGCTCTGAAATGTGAAGTCAGGGTAACCCCAGCTTGCAGGGTCCAGCCTCGTCCCCTGCAGCACAGGGCTGTCCCAGCCAGGTCTCTGCTGCCACTATGTAGGTGAATCTGTCACAGGCGACCCTGCCTCTCCATTGTGCATCCTGGAGACAGGCTGTGGTTTGGTTGGTTCTTCTCTTTGTCCCAACATGAGGTTTAGGTTTTATGATTGAGTGAGAAACTCAGGAGGTAGCTGGTAACAGCATGGGCCAGGATCTGGGGTTCTGTGGGCACTGCAGTCAGTTCTGCTGGGGACAAGTGGGATTTTAGAGATTGGCTAGAGGGAATTTAACCTGGAATGATATTTCTGTGGCAGAGGGAGGGTAAGACAGCATCGCACTGCCCTGGGCTAGCTGGCTCTCCTGATGGAAGCGCAGATCTCTGTTTTGCAAGACGAATCTTGCTTGCAGGGAGCGCTGATTGTTTGCTGGTTGCCTTTTGCAGACCCTTTAGATGTAGTCTGGGACTGCTGGGGTCTGCTGTGCATTGGCTTCGTGTTCTGCCTCGGGCTAGTGTTCCCTTGTCTGCTGATGTCCCTTGGCCATCCCTTGTCTCCTTGCAGAAAGAGGAAGAGGAATTTGCGCGCAATTTGGCTTTGCAGCAGCAGCAGCTGGAAGAGGAGAGGAAGCGGGTAGCCCTGATGAAGCAGCAGCAGGCAGAGCAAGAGCAGTTCCACGCTTTCGAGGAGATGATTCGACGACAGGAGCTGGAGAAGGAACGTCTGAGGATAGTGCAGGAATTTGGAAAGCAAGAGCCGAGTCCTGAGTCTCTGGATGGACCCCTCATCCCTGGTGTGGAAAAGCCCCCGACTGATTTAATCGCAAAGGTTCCTGTCTCTCCAGTTCACCCTGCAAGTCCATCAGCGGGAACCGTCTCATCCAAACCTCCTGTTGTGGACAGATCTTTGAAACCAAGTGCTTTGGGGAGCACGGAAAACAGTTAGTACCTGTCAGTGCACCTTTCTCCCTTGCTGGGGCTGAGCCAAACACGACAGAGGAGCTGATTTGTCTGGGAGGTGTCTCATCATGGCTCCATCTCTTCTCAGGGTTTGGCCTTCCAAGTCACTGGATGTTCTCCCCGTTGTCCAGTAAAGTTTTGCAGGGCTGGGAAGAACTGTCTCCTCTTGGGAAGCAACCCACCACACTTCTCCAGCCCAGTCTCTCTGCTGATCCACAGCCTGTTTGGCTTTCCTGGATCCAAATACTCCTTGGAGACTGGGGTTTAGTTCCTGCCTAGGCTGACCAAATTCTCCTCCTGACCAAATTCTCCTCTTCTGCCAAATACAGCTCCAAAATACTGATTGGGACATTTCCAAATGACTGGTTCTTGACCAGTGACACATCTTACTTTAAATGACATTTTCTAAGTGTTTGTGGTTTCGTTTTTGTTAACAAAACACTAGTTTTCTGACACACTGCTAAAGGTGCCTTCTCCCTCTGTGTCTGTTTTGAAAGACATAGTGACTGTCCTTTATGAAGTGTCACAGTGACTTCATTTCCCTGTGACTGCCATCGTAAGGGTAGATATTAGAGCAGTTCGTGTTTCCAGGCTGAATTTTTCCAGTCTAGTCCCTCCAAGTACTGGACCTGAGGGACCATTTCTCCAGCGTCCCCGACTGTCATTGCTCATTGTGCTCCCATTCTCCCCACAGATGCAAGTACGGATGTCCTTCGCCAGGTCATTGTCCCTAGGGAGCTCTGCCAGAAATTCCTCCAGCTGGCTGATGCCAACACGGTCCGGGGTGTGGAGACATGTGGGATCCTCTGTGGTAAGCTGGTAAGGTGATAATCCTGATTAAGACCCTGGAAGTGGCTCAGGGGACTTTTGTCAGGGTGCAATAGCTTTGAAAATGGGTAGAGGACCCTGATTTTTGCCCCAGAAGGCTGTAGTGCAGTTTCACTGATGACTGGGATTTCACGTGAGCTTTAGGGATGATCTGCCTCTCCTTTTCGTCCCTTGTACGTTAAGATTTCCTCACGCTGATTGAGGTGGCAGCCATCGAGTCCCCGTGGGTCTTCAGCCTCCTCTCTCCTGTTGATGACTCTGCTGGGTACCTGCTTCACACACCCCCGTGTTGCTGATGACAGGCAGCTCCAGTGACTTGTCCCTTTGGAACCAGCATGACTGAGGTGTCCCAGTTGTGAACTGGGACCCTCACCCAGACAAGGCTGTGCCAACACCGACTGGAGACAGTTAATTCTCCCCAGAGACTTTGTGTGCACAGGTTTCTATTGGCAGCTCCAGTCTGTCTCCCCTGAGTCACTTGGGGCTGCTTTCTTGCACAAGTTTGCTTTGAAATGAAGTTGTTTGATGTAGGAACTTTCTGCAATCCAGCTGCTTCCAGACACTTTGGTGATTATTTAATTATGAGGCATCATCTCTTAGTGAGTGGGGAGAATCACTTTGGTGGGTGTCCAGGAGTCTGAGCTCTTGTATGCGCTCTGCACAGCAGGGAAAATGAAATTGAAACCCGTGGGTCATGCTCACACTCGGAAAAGTCTGCGACTCCTTTGTCAGTAACCTGCAGTTACCATTTCTGTGACCTGTAAATGGATGGTAGATGCATCCAGGGGCTTGTTTCCAGAGCTGCTGTTCCCCTGGCTGGGCCCCTGAGTCCTGAATGCACAATTACCATGTTCCCAAACTTTAGGGAATTACCCTGGCACCAGTGGGCGGCAGCAGCGCTTCCTGCTTGGGAGGGTGTTTGGTGGGTAACAGCCTCCCTGTGCTGCTCTGCAGATGAGGAACGAGTTCACGATAACCCACGTCATCGTGCCCAAGCAGCACGGAGGCCCCGATTATTGCAACACGGAGAATGAGGAGGAGCTCTTCATGATCCAGGATCAGCACGGCCTTGTTACGTTAGGCTGGATCCACGTGAGTCTCTTGTACCTGTTTCACTTCCCAACCAGCCTTGCATTCAGCCAGGAGGGAGCAGGGCCAGTGGTGGAGAACTTCCTGGAAGAGATGGCATGGAGCAGGCAGCATCCTCCATTGGATTTGTCCCTCTGGTGCAGTCTCAGTCACTACTCACACTGCTGGAGAAATCCAGGCCTGTCTTAAGTTTGAGACCCTTCCTAAAGCATCAGATCCTAAAGCAACAGATAACTCTGTCCTTTCAGAAAATCTTAGGACAAGAGGAAATGGCCTCCAGTTGCACCAAGGGCAATTGAGATGGGATGTGAGGAAGAATTTCTTTGCTGCAAGGGTTCTGAGGCATTGGAAGGGGTTGCCCAGGGCAGTGGTGGAGTCCCCATCCCTGGAGGGATTGAAGAGTCGTGTAGACACAGTGCTGAGGGACATGGGTTAGTCATAGGGGACTTGTCAGTGTTGGGTTCATGGTTGGACTCGATCATCTTAAAGGGCTTTTTCCATCCAGGCAATTCTGGGATTCATTGATCCTTTGAAAGTGGGATATTGGGCATGAAGCTCGTATTTCATCCAGCTAAAAGCTGACTCCAGCAGCACTTTTGGGGCATCCCGAGCTCCTGCTGTCAGCACAGGGCCTCTCCCATGGTGTGTCCCTGTAGTAGTGCTGCTGCTCACAGACAGCTGTGTGCTGCTCTGCTGCGGGATGTGCCAGTTCCAGATTCCTCCGCTGCCCTGCTGCCTGTCCCCGCGGAGCCTTTGGCAGTCGGATCGGTGCCAAGCAAAATGTTTGGTGCTGCTGAGTAATCTCTCGAAAGCAGCAGCTGCCTCGAAGGCTTTGACAAATAAATGCCTGCTGCGTGTGCCTGATATGTGCTGGGTGTCTGCTTTGAGTGTTAACTCTTCAGTGACAGCCCTGGGATGTTCAGGGACAAACAAGGAGAGTGTTGTGAAGGGTCTGGAGCACAAGTGTGCTGAGTTCCCTTGTGGCTGAGGGAACTGGGGGTGTTGAGCCTGGAGACAAGGAGGCTGAGGGGAGACCTTCTGGCTCTGTCCAAGTCCCTTGGAGGAGGGTGGAGAGAGGTGGGGGTGGGTCTGTTCAACCAAGGCCCAAGGGACAGGACAAGAGGAAGTGGCCTCCAGTTGTGGCCAGGGCAGTTGAGATGGGATGTGAGGAAGAATTTCTTTGCTGAAAGGGTTCTGAGGCATTGGAAGGGGTTGCCCAGGGCAGTGGTGGAGTCCCCATCCCTGGAGGGATTGAAGAGTCGTGTAGACACAGTGCTGAGGGTCATGGGTTAGTCAGGGACTGGTCAGTGTTGGGTTTGTGATTGGACTCAATGATCTTAAATCTCTTTTCCAATCAAGGCAGTTCTGGGATTCTGTGCACTGAAGTGTGACTTTCTGTGGGATATGGCCAGAAATGTAGAGCTCCTCCTGTACTTATTCCAAATAGAAAAGAGGAGCAGATGTTTTGGGACAACGCAAAACTATTTTCAGTGTGCAAGCATGTCCTCTGTGCCATCCAAGGAGCTGTGTTTCTCCTCTGTTACAACCTTCTCTTGGCAGATGCTCTCCCTTTGGACCAGTTCTCCGACCTGCTGGAACTTCCTCTCTTGTGTTCCCCTGTGTTTCAGACTCACCCCACGCAGACAGCCTTCCTCTCCAGCGTCGACCTGCACACGCACTGCTCCTACCAGATGATGTTGCCAGAGTCCATTGCTATTGTGTG